CAGTTTAAGTGAAGTTGCCTGAGTTCGACTGAAAGCCTTGGAATCCCCAATGGGAGCCAATTGCAACAGCTGAAATCTGGTAGAAAGTGCATACAAATTGGATATCTAGAGATTGCAAGTTTACTAGATTGCACCATAGCNACAGTTTAAGTGAAGTTGCCTGAGTTCGACTGAAAGCCTTGGAATCCCCAATGGGAGCCAATTGCAACAGCTGAAATCTGGTAGAAAGTGCATACAAATTGGATATCTAGAGATTGCAAGTTTACTAGATTGCACCATAGCTTTGCATGACTGAGCCAGAAATGCCCTAAGATTGGTTGCAAAAATACCATTAGAAAATCTGGAACTTGAACGTCTTATAATTCGTTCCCGTTGCCGTTCTCAAAAAACCGCGTAACCAAAACTCAGCCAATGAAAGAGCAGAAAGGTGTGTACGAAAAGCTTTCATTCTGCTTATTTCATTCCGGGCGTGCATGGGCTTTTACACTAGTGATAATGATAGGTTTACCAAGTACTGGACCGATTTGTTGTGTAACGGTCCCACACCCAATAGCATATTATATTTCTTTTTTTAGCTGCAAAGAATTTCCTCTCTGAACCCCTTCCTTCAATAAATTCCTATCCCAGAGGTGGGCAAACAGCTCCCTTCAAATACGAGGGAAAATTGATCTCAGAGAATGAATTTCATAAATAAATGGGTAACCCCAATGAAATCATGGAAGACTTCGATGATTATTCCGTATCAAACAAGAAAACGGACGCGGAAATTAACTCGTTTTTCACAAGCATGCCCAACAGTTCAAATTAATTTTCATGCATTTACTGTAAAATTTTCACCATCATGATATGATGAACTTTCACTAACACCACTTACATTCTTATCTTCCCAATCACTCACATCGATACTCAATTTGTCATCACTTTCCAATTAAAACTCCTCCATATCACGAAGGGATATGTTTCGAAATGTTCACTAAATGTCTAGATTATTATGGGCATCTATTAGGGAAAGTGGGAAAAAAAAACATTACTAAAGATTTCCCTTAAACGATGATAGGCATAACCACAATTTCCCACCCAGTGGGACATAGGACCGCAAAGGGTTAATGGGGGAAAACATTATCATTCTCAGAGCGGTTTTAGCGTCCCTTCGCTTTAAAATAGTCGTACTTTTCGTTAGGGCCATCTGGCATATTGGTGTACAATCTCCTTGGGAACTCGTTGCACCGACTCGTCGTCGAAGCTTTGAGGCTATATTTCTTGCAACCTCATCCTGCGCTCTGTTCACTCCATGCATGCCTGAAACTAGGAGTCCTTGTAGTCCGGACTGGACAAGTCCCATCTCAACTTTGCGGATGACGTGTGAGAGGCTTTGACCAGGCTTTCGAGGGACGTCTGCGCTTCACAATCTTCACGCTTTTGGGGGGCGGCAGCGCTACAAAACATCACTTGCGTGAAGGGTAAAAAGGGTTCACATTACCATTCTCCATCTAGGAAGTGGAGATATGAGATTTGTTTAGTAACGCCTCGTTTTACGGAACTACGAGGGGACGGGTTTAGGCTGGTTTCCCAGCTGGCCGGAGTCGAGGCGTCGAACCCTGGATTCCAGTCTTGGAATACAGGGTCATGAATTCCACGGACTGTTCATTTTGAATTCCTGGGTAGTANCTCGTTTTACGGAACTACGAGGGGACGGGTTTAGGCTGGTTTCCCAGCTGGCCGGAGTCGAGGCGTCGAACCCTGGATTCCAGTCTTGGAATACAGGGTCATGAATTCCACGGACTGTTCATTTTGAATTCCTGGGTAGTACAACAGAATTTCGTTACCGACGTTACGTCACCAACAGAATTACCAAACGAAATTCTGTTGTACTACCCAGGAATTCAAAATGAACATATCCATATTCTTATCCAACATCGTCCAATCGTCCATCGTCCCATGGCCAAATTAAAACTCGCTTTTCTCAGCCTCCACTTGAAGTACAGACGTATGTTTTTTGTTTGTTGGCTCTTCTCAAAATAATCATACTGTTTGCCAAACGTCGTTGAATTCTGAGATGGTCGAGCACAGATCATTACCTCACTTAAGGTGGAATTATCCACCTCTAACCAGCGTGAACGGGCATTGCACGACTTAGGTAAGGGTGCTGGAAAAAATTGATATGCGTCTCAACACCTTGTAACCGTTCAATGTCGATCGCATAGCCAATGAAAAATATTTTTGGCACTTATGAAGCTGTTTTTCTTTAATCACATTATATATTGGTTATGATAATGATAGCACTCTGGAGTCTGCAAAAAAATTTTGAAAAATTAAGTGCCGATAAGCTAAAATGTCCCTAAGGAAAAATGGTGTCGTGACAGGCTCTTCAACGATGGTTGCAGATAACCATCAAAAAGACGCCAGGAAGTAGTAGTCCGGACTTTCACTCTAATCGATTTGTTCCCAGACGCCTCTGGCGCTTGCTCGCAGGCCATCACGTTATCAGATTAGCCTGATTGGATTTATCGGCGCCCCATTAGCCAACCCTCTACAGTGGGGAGGGAGGAACTAAGGAGTCCCAGATTTCTAACAATCCCTGTCTTTGAACTCATGGGAGTGAATCGGCTGCAAATAAGCTCTTAACACATTCGCATCCAGTGCCCCCAGAGAATGGCCAAAGTACAACAAAAGTATGACACATGGAGCACGGAAACCAAAGTATTGTTTCACAAATATTATGAAACATGTGATTTTCTTGTGTTTTAGAGCTACAACTAAAGAGACCCCGTCACCACGTAAGAATATGGAGTGAAAGGACGAGGGCCCTTGGCGATCTCCATGTCCAAGCAATTCCTCCCCCTTCCCGCTCGTCACACAGCTAATACTGAGCTACCCCTCTGGATCCTGCAACGATTCCGTCAATGATGGAGATTGCAGTGATGAAGAAAAGGGGCTTGAGGCATTCGANAAGCCGGATAGAGGTCCGCGCTCCGATCGCGGCAAGAAAAGATGGAATCCTACGGCCCCGCCCCCCCCCCCCCCCCCCCCCCAAATTTTGTAGAAGTCTATATATATGTAGCGCCTATGATGAAAAGTGCATCAATAACTAATTTCCCCACTAAGACCGTCTGTCATCGGCAGTCAGTGGTACCATAGCCAATTGGCAAATCTTGAGAATAATTGTGTACAGATTGCTTGTTGTTCCTTGCGATTTTCAATACTCAAAATTGGGAGAAATATACTGTACTTGAAGCACAGGGTGAAAATGTTTTAAAACTTAGCATACATCCCTATTCACCTGAGATATGATGTACAGAAAAGCATGGAGCTCACCCGACGTTGGTTGGAGATGTTCTATTTAAATAAATAAAAAATGTAAATAAACTGGTTCCCCCCCCCCCCCCCTCCCCCCTTTTTGAGATACAGTATAGAACGATAAAACGTAGGCGAGATCAAGTGGGGACTGAATGAAAGGCTCGAATGGACGAGAAACCAATCCCTATTTTCTTCCCTTTCTGCTATGCAAGCCCCCGGGAATCCTACTGATATGTGAGAAACATGGCGACCCTACGTTTTCTGCATTTGTTGCACAGGTGCTGACAGCCCTGGAAGACACAACGGGGATATACTTCTACCCAAAAGATGAGATAAAGGCGCGATGCAATGCATTGGAATCGGGCTGGACGGTGACAGATGACTGCTACAATGTCTCCCTCGCGGGTCCTCCATATCCCATGGCCGCCTTTATCAAAATCAGCATCAATGAACCCTATCCCGTCGAATGCCTCAAGCCCCTTTTCTTCATCACTGCAATCTCCATCATTGACGTCGATCAACAGTTTCGAGAGCTCACTTGCTGCCGGATCCAGCAAACATGACTCCTCGAACAGGCTTCACATTTATTATCATGAAATTTTCAATGTAGTAGTTCCAAAATGTGCATCGAGAGCAACTGGCATATCCCTTTGTGTCCACATCAAGCGTTCCACAGCCCTTAGGCTGTGGAACGCTTGATATGTTGATTCCTTGTGTCGAACATGTTTTTCCCTAAAATCCGACATCCACCACCGCGACACATTTGACTTTCCTTATGTCGCTTTTGACGCTCCCAGGCAGCACAGCGACGCATTTGACTCAATCACATTTGACCTAGAAAACCTATACTTGACACCTTGATGGTAGAAAACATTTTGTCCTTCACTACCAGAGATGTTAGTCACCAAGTAACACGCAAGTCCCACTCAAGAGTGTTACTTGCCCTAGTTCCATGGAATTCAAGCCATCAGGGGTTCTTAACCTTTTTGCACCTACGGACACCCCAGACCTCCTCAAGTATTACCCATGGACCCCAGGTTAAGAACCCCTGATCTAAATGTATCATGGTTTACCTGAAACAGAATTTTAAAAAGCATTCACCCAGTTACAACGATTTATTGGAATCACAGAAGATCATTTTGAGTTTGGGGTCCACCCACATAAGTGGGTTTCATGCTAAAGTACTAATCATTGCAGCACAGCTCTCTTCTTTCTGGTAGCAGCATTGTTATGTTGAGTGCCTGTGTTTCTTCTACACCTGCATTAAGTTTCATTTTTGTATATAACAATTATATTACTGACTCCATGAACAGTTGGTTGAATCATCTAAATATGCTTTCCTCAAAATTGCTGCAACCACCTAAGAACTCTGGTTGGTTGACTATCTATGCCACAGACTTCTTGAAACTACTCCTGAATTGCTAGCAGCATATTATGGCCTTTAGGGTAAAAAATTTAAGAGTCCTTCGTCCACCTTTTGAAAAATTAGTCATGTTCTATCAGTTGACTCAATCTAACTGTAGTTAGTGTTTTTTTATATTAATGACATTAGATACACAGGAATAGACAAACATACCCATGAGTGTAAGGAGTATGGTACTTCAAGAAAGATGGAGTTGTGTTGCAGTGATTTTGATAATATGCATAATGTAATATGAGTAGTATGATAGTATACAATTAAAAGATATAAGGAGCAGGAAAATTGCCATTTTATTTCAGACTGCACAACTAAACAGCAACACCTGCAATATAAATTTGTTGCAGTTAGGCCTACTTGCACTAACTTGCAGCATAGTGCAAATCTAAACAATCTCTTTGTAGACATTTTTTTTCTTCAAATTCTCTCTATATATATTCACTGTTCAATTGTTGCAAACAAAATGAAGTAGCATGATAACTCTGAGATAAAAAGTGGAATAAGATTCAGATGAGGGATCTATCGAGCCAGCTGGGTAATCAGGGAGGCACACATCTCAAAGAACTCCATTGTGTGATGACCCACTGCATCTTTTGGCTCTGATCCTACAAAGGATGAGAAGAAAAATTACATATAATTACATATTAACCAAGACCTGTTGAGCAATTCACCAGTATTTATATTACTTGAATGGATCTAGAGTTACAAAGACATACAAATTTCTTAGAAAAGGAATGCTCATTGATAAATCTGCAGAATAACCATACGGACCAAATTAAATCAAAGGACCAAAAAACTCTATAGCTGTCAGAGGACCTAATATCTTTACCCTGAGGAGCTTGTATGTGACAACATATTGTCATCTTATCAAATTGAACCCAAAATTCAAATATCACCATATGATACCTCTACCTAAACTAGGTGATAGGGAGAGGAATGCACTGTCCAATGGGAGCCTTCAAAAAGTTTCTGGATTCAAATTCTGTAGAAGGATTGGCATCTTGAATGAAGACTCTCATGCCGTGTTGCCTCTATGATAGGCAACATATGTTCTATGAGAATGGTGACAAAAACCCAAATGATGTTAGGCCTACATTCCTTGCTCTTGCCATTAGATGGGCAGGAACTGATCAGGTTTTTGGATACAGATCATCCAGGATACTTAGTGGATCTTCCTGCAAATTGCAGAGCGACTGACTGAAGGGCTCTGCCCAAATGGTTCACAGCCAAGCCATCATATGCTTGGGGAAATGAAGCATAGAACCATGCCATGACTGTTAGCATGACGTCTCCACAAGGAAGGCTCCTGTTAGACAGTGCATTCCTCTCCCTATCGCCTAGTCAACCTAATACCATCCACTTCCTATACCACCTTGGCAATAATCTTGTGTAGTCATTTAATTAATTTCCTTAGCTTCTGAACATTTTACTTTTATGCCCCTGACTTTTCTAGCCTATTGGAACTGTGAACATACTAGGTGTGGGATCTTCATCTTGGATGCTCTTGAAGTCAAGGAGATAGGACTTGTAGTCAACTTGATACAACTGCAACACCATTTTTGCACAGTGCCCAGAAACCTTGTTGACTTTTCTTGCTCTGACCTGGTATTGGTTCACCGCCTTCCATTCCTGCAACCGAGCCCAAGAATCCCATGCTAATTCAAGGTTTTCATGAAAAAATAGTCTCCCTAGCTGTTCTTCAGAATCTCTTGAGGACACTTAACCCAAGCAAATGACTAGGGATATAATAGTGGGTTTCTACCAATATCTACCTGCAGGCCAAAATTTTGTACTTCAGATATCTGATTTTAATGCAAGTGTGTGGTCTGTGCCTGTTTCCCCCAAATCAATGCAGGAACCAACTGCACATAGATATCTATACTACTTATATTTCAGAGAGAGAGCGTGAATGTGTGTGCATGCATCTGTCCTTTGCACGACCATGCTTCTGATCCCAGTCTGACCAAACTTTGCATGGCTTCCTCATTTAGTCTGGGGATTGTCACAGGCTAGGTGGCATTTCAAAATTTGGACCCCTGAGGTACCTTACCTTGGTAAACATGGGGTGCCATTCTCGAGGCTTTGGATCAGGGTGTGAGAATTAGGGTTGTAACATCAGCTTTTAAAACAATTAGGATAAAGCACCTATTTGTAGACGGTCTTGCATTTCCTGCCTTCCAAAGAAATCTTAGCTGGAAATTCATCCTTGACTACTCAATGTTATATAATGGTTATAAGCCAAGCACATGAATTTCTGGCTTTGGTTTTTTTGGATGGCTGAAAATGCAAAATCACCCATTTTTATTACATAATTAGTAGCTGTCATGAATTGGATGAAGGAAGAATATAAATTTCCTTGTATAAAAATTTAAAGCCTTTTGGAGAATCCTGCACAATCTGGAGTCTATTCTAAGTCAAGCTGCAGTACCATGCAAGGAGGTGCCAGAACCTAATGCAGATGGATACTGGAGAAAGTAACAGAAAAGACATAAATCTGTTTCTTGCTCCATATTACCACAAGCTCAAGAAACTTTCACCTTCTTAGCACCCTTTCCTCTTTTTTTTTTCTTTTTCACTCACTTTCCAGGCTCAGTGTATGCTTCAGGCCTGATAAAAATGCCACCTACCACATATGATGACAGCCCTAATTATAATCAATTTTCTAAACTACTTTTATAGAAAATATGAGAATTGATGTTCCATATCATCTTCAGAAATGAATACGCCTTGCTAAATCTAAATTTTATGGTGTCAACAATGGCAATCAGCAATCATATTGCTGGGTTAGGCCAGAGCCTCAACATACGTTTTTGGGATCTACTCAGGTGGCTAGGGGCCTACAGAAAGGGGGAAGAAAAGGAGGTTCAGATATCAGCACCTACATGTTCATACACAAAGAGGTAAAATTCATTTTCCTAGCTTCATGAAAGAGGTGCCCACAACATTGGCTACGGATATTTGTTATAAAATGTTGGATACCAGAAAATTCCATGTTTGTTACATCATGTTACATTATATAACAAACAAGATTTTCCTGTATGATTCTCTCCCCCTTTCCTGCACCCTCCACTTCCTTGAGATTGATTTTGCCCATTATCTGGTTTTCAGGAAATTGGGACATTTTCCTTAATTTTTACTCTAGACTGTTTCTGATTTTTCAGGTCTGTGCTTCACCTTAAAAGCTTTCAAAGCATGAATGTGCTCAAGTAGGGCTAATTCTATGGTCAAGGTCACCATCATTGCTTCTTTTCCCAAACTCAGACTGACAGGATATTGGGGGGGGGAGGAGTTCTTTTGTTTTCATCAATGCAAAGGTGGTACTGAAGATTCTTTATGTCATGCACTGATATCTCACTCAATATAACCAAAATCTTATACATACAATAATGCTTAATATAGCCATGCTGTAATATACCAATAACATGGCCTTTATGTTGCCAATCTCAAATTTTGTACAGGTTTCATCAGAACTTAACAAAAGCAAGATGGAATATATGCTCACAAATTCTAATGTCTTCATGGCACGGAAAACTTCATTCATGATGTCCACTGGTCTGCTCTGTGATCGAATACCTGCAATAGGAAAAAACAAACACCATGTGGAGTGAAAACCTTATTCAGATCAGCCTATTCCTCTTGGTTGGGGTTATTTTTTAAACATCATGAAAATGGCATAACTGAAATATTGCTGAAGCTACTGAGAAAGGGGAAAGGGAAAAGTCATGGCAAATGTCTTGATTGCATATGAGAGATTGGTGAATGGAGGACATGTTCAAAATGTTCACCTCCCTGTTCAGTGACATGATGTGAGTACAGGGCACAATTGCTAAGACTGCTTTTTGTCATATCTAAAAGATTCACTACAAGCACCACATTTGTGCAACTGAATTATTATAATGGTGCAAGCTTACTGCAACCCTTGTAGGGGGTTAAACTATGGTGGGCTGGTCATATGGATCATGACAGATTCTATTGGCCCAACCTGATGGCTGCAGGGGTAAGGGAAGACTATGAACCTGTTGGATAGATCTAGACAGGCATGACTTTTTGGCACTTAGTTTGTCCACATCACAGGCTGCAGACCTGGTACAGCATCAAAGCAAATGGTGGCAGCAGGTGGTTTTGGCCCCATTATCATGATGTTCTCATAAGTGAACAAGGAAAATGTATGTATGCATAAAACTAATCATGGTTTTTTTAAGGGCATCCAGATAGGACTGAATACCAGTGTCATGATGATTTGCAAATCAATTTCAATTGGTTTTAAAAAATCTATCTCTAACAATAGGCATACTTCAAGAAAATCACCTGAGTAACAATAAAGAATGGAACCATTAAATAAGTCTCATTATTGGGCACATTGTGAATGTGTCCAGTCCAGAATCTTATGATGTGGTAATTGTTTCATTCTGCAATCTGTATGTTATTTTTATGAAAATCAGGTATTGTTACATTTAACCATAAGGAGAAATGTGAATCTGAAGAGAAGGGAGGAGGGATATCCACATACCCAAATGCCATTTGGCACGCTTCATTGGAGTATTGGTTGCAGGTCCACTATTTTTGGGGACTTCTGGAGCCAGGAACCGGTCCCGCAATGCTGGAATCAAGCAGTAGTAAAACAGGTGTAATCAAGCTTCCCTATGAAGACTAAATGATGGAATAAAGATTAGGAAAAAAAAGTTTTGCAAAAGAAATTGAGAATTTTCTTTGACTCTTTCAGATTTCCAAGCTTCTTTTGGAATGAATTCCCAGACACAAATTTGCTTTCTCATACAAGGTTCTTCATAAGTCACTTTTGCTGCTCAGACTGCTATGGAGTACATAAGGGCTGACACAACACTTGGGAGTAAGACAGCAACTTTCACATGGTGCTACTGTTAAGCATTTATGTGTGTGAACCCATCAAAATGCAACTAATGTCATCAACAGGCCACTGGATGTCAAGTCATCAATCTCCTGGTGTGATCAGCAACAGCGAAAAAAAAAAACAACACGAGGAAAATCAGTTGTAGGACCATTTTGGCTATTTTGCATCAGATGCATGGTTCAGGTGCTATGATGGCAAAACCATTGTGTAAGTGATCTTACAGTGAAGAAAAAAGCCACTATGAGCAACATCTCAAACACACTCCACAATTGAAGTGTTAGGTCAGAAATCGATAGTAAAAATCATTGATTTTACAAGAGCAACAGATCAGAAAAGTTCACTAAATCCATAGGTTGATCATATTTTGCATATAAATGTTCAAGATAAGAGATCATTAGTGAATTGACACATTTGGTTTTGACTAAAAATTCCATAAGGATCTTTTCTTTTTCTTGCAAGGCAAAAAAAAGTCAATTGTTGAAATATCATGGTCTGACTTAACACCACATAATTGATGAGACAGCAAAATCCAGGAGATAAAACTCATTTCTAAAAAAATACTACATACAGCAGGGTAGAATCTGCTGCTACACTTAGAAGCCATTCTCAATACCAATGGAACCAGATAGAGCCAAAGGTTTTATTGTGGCTAGAGGGGACATGAAAATATGGTGAACCTAATAGCATCTATTTTGTTTGCGTGCATCAGCTTTTGAATTGTCCAATTAATCCAATGTTCTAACAGCACTCCTAGTACATTCCAGTCCCCTGAGTAGCAAATGTGACTTTTGGAAAACGCTGTACATGACCTCTACCCTTACCATATCATTAATTCTCTCCACTTCTTTTCCTTGCATCAACTAATGCAATTTCTCCAATATCCCAGACTGAATAGAATATGGAACTATATCCCTTACTTTTCCAAGTATTTTAGGTCTGTGAGAACCATGTGATTGCAAAAAATATATTGAGACTGACTGGTGATGCGTTCGGGATGAGGCCTGATGGTGGGGCTAGGTCCTGAGCCATTTCCACCAGGCAAGGACACCCGGTAGAAATCCTGGATGCTGAACTTTTGAGCCTCATCCTCAAATTTGTTGTCTATGATGAGGTGGTAGGCAATGGCCAACTGATCATGTGGATCCCCACTCAGCAACGCATTGTGAACTTCCTGTTCACTCACCCCAAATTTCTGCTCAACACAAATCAGAGGTTAATTATGACTTGCACATGTCTTTTCAAAGATGAGAGCCCTTTTTCTGTGCTCAAGTGATACATTGCTGTACAGTTCTTTGGCAAAAGACATCATTATCCTGAGCAGTTAGAAAAATAAAATATGACAAACCTTGTCTATCACGACACAGGAAAAAATACAAACAAATGTAAAACATAAGCAACCCTAACAATCCAATAGACACTAGGCATGGTCCTGTATAATCAGCACCTATCAATACTTTAAAATCCACAATTAAAAAAAAAACTAAAACAATCACCTGATCCTCTTAACACTTTCGGCGTCCAGTGCAGATGCACCATACCTCCCCAAGGTGTCCAAATGTTTTGAGAAAATTAGCCACAAGTACTAACAACACTAAAATCACTTAAGAACTTAAACAAGCAAAAATAAATAGACAAATCTTTCACAGAAGACTGCCCATTTAGCTAGGTGTTGTATAGTGTGGTAACATGTGCCATTTTTGGAATTTTGTGGGCTGCTATCAAGTACAAACTCAGAATTCTGGAGACATCATCTAGTACAGCAACCCCAAAACTTAAGAACTCTGCATACTTCTTGCCTCAGGGTGCATATGTAGCTTACCACCACTTGACCCACATTTGCAAATCCCACAAAGTACATAAGACTAGCACTAAATTGTGTGATTTAAAATAAAAATGCTTAGAAACCTTTTTTGTACACCCAGTGGTATGTGTACCACATTTGGGAACCCTTGGTCTAGTATGTTAATTGTTTTAAGCACTTCCTGAGGGATTCCGAACATAAACATGACTCAGATCATAAGAATGACTCACAATCAGAGGGCTGATCACTAACAACATCAAACTGTCCTCCAGCAACATTACTAATAACACTCTCACTCAATTTTCTCACTTTTGGGATGCCATGCTTGCCACTGACAAAAGCATGGCAAAAAATAAACGCTATGAAAACATTAAGAAGGAAATAACATTTAACCACATCCTCAAGCAGAGGAACTTCAAAAACGAAAAGTTTTCCACCAACAGATTTTGCTGACACTACACACTTCAACAAGAAAAAAAAAGTCCTAAGTGCTGACGTTCTGACATTAGGATGAATATGCACTCAGGGTAATGCAGGCAGTTGCATGACAAGTATGTACTCGGGATGACGCCAAAAGGGTTAAGCAGATATAGTCATTTCCCTTTCCTTTTATTCCACTTAATTCCAGGTTGTTTGAGAGTTCTATTTTGTTCCTTGGAATCAAAATACAATGCAAGAGGACTCTTGCAGAAGTCTCAGCAGAGTAAGAAAGGATAGAGAGGTTCAGCTGTCTATTGGTTCTTGAGTACTCACTTCTTTTTTGGAATTATATGTTAACCCTCATCCGGGCAAGCGTTTTTACAACCTATTCCGGGCAAGGTGAGCCTGTCAGACTCATGTAAAATAAGGTCGTTTGCTGTGGTTACGGTATGTATTCTTATAAATAACAGTACTGTAACTAAAATAATACAGACAATTTATTCAATGGTCCTGATAGTTTAAAAAAATAATGACAGTGATATTTATAAATAACAGTACTGTAACTAAAATAATACAGACAATTTATTCAATGGTCCTGATAGTTTAAAAAAATAATGACAGTAATAGACCGAAATATGTCGTAGTGAGTCCAGCGGACTCACCTTGCCTGGATTAGGGTTAAGAACATTCTCATTAGGCTACAAAAGGGCATTTCTTTCTTGAATAGAATGTACACTACATCTGAAATAGAATGATCCTCCTGAATCCTAGAACAAAGGACAGAATAGGAGTCTCAGTCTTACCTGACACACTTCAGCAACTGCATCAGTATCAATGATGGATGAGTCCTGCTCAGCAGGAGGTGGGAAGAGGTATGCTGGCAAGTCCTTCTGAAACCACTCATGTTTTCTGCAGGATATGAAAAGCAAGATCCACCAATGATACTCTGGAATCAATAGCTTCTTAAGCCTTTGAGGAGTGGGTTTTTTTAACATCTAGATCACCTGTAGTGAATACAAGGAGGGCAGGAGGCCTGTCAGCCTGTATATATACATGCATACTCGTCAAAGGGTTAATGGTGCTCTTCAGTATTTCTGATCCCTCAATAAGATTGTATAATAAGAAAATAATATGGCCACAACTAACTACTGTAGCATGTAAGCCATCCTCTTAGAAAATATGAAGATGGAATAATGATTCTTCATTACATAAATCCGATGAGAACAAAGACAATAACAAACTTAATATCTTCTATTGTAGCTCGTTTCAGTGGGTCCACTTGGAGGGTGTGGCAAAGGAGACTTGTCACTGACTTGTTCAAGTAATCTGGAATTGGGAAGATTCCAGCTGCAAAGAGACAAAAATAACAACTGAAGTGTCCATCGTCATCTAGCAGGAATAATTTTTAAAAGGAGATGAATTGGCAGCAGACATTTGATTTTTCTGAAGAGTGTGGGAACATGTTCATCATCGAAAGGGAGCGTTCCACACAGGAGTGCATATAGGATGACACCACAAGACCAGATGTCCACTTCAGGCCCTGCATACAGCTTCCCAGAGATCACTTCAGGGGCTGCATAATTTGGTGACCCACAACTTGTCTTCAGGAACTCCCCATCCAGCATCATGTTGGACAAGCCTACAACAGTGAATGAAAAATATTTGTCCTCCCCAAACACACAACAACAATACAACCAAATTTGTTACAAGGTCTGAAGGGTCAAGACATCAGAGACCATTTACTACCTGTTCAGATTAAATTTCTTCTAGTTCTTAGCTTATGGTTCCACAACCAACTCTTCTTCCTTTTCATTCTCTTCATCTTTCCTGAGAGCCAGTACATATTATTTTCTTCCCATGAATGCATAGACATGGTTTGTAGATTTTTAAAAGTTTCCTAACATAGCAAGCATAACAGCTTTCTTACAGGGATACCTCAAAAGAAATAATTATGACCTCATAACAAGTGATCCAGGCAATCAATTTCCACACTTACTCTTAGACTTCTTTCAAGTTGAAGATAGGATATTAGAAATCACTTTCAATGTCTTTCACCCTTCAAGAACTGAGTTTTGACCCGACCTCTTAAGTGATGAACATATAGTGTACGGGAAAACAGCTTGAAGGGTTAATATAGTTGAGGGACAGAAATACTTAATGCGTAGTTACCCTTGCAATTTGAAACAAGTGAAATTTCTGATGGGAGGAACTATTTCATTCCTCTGCAGGCACACAAGCAGGTCAGAGAGTAAGAAGCATTCATCAAGCCTTCTAAATTCCACTAGGTTTGCAGTTACTTTAAAGAATGCATGCAGAAAAAAAAACCTCTTCAAAATGTAAAATGTGGAAGATTTTGCAGGGAAAATCAAGAAGTATGCCTACCATAACAGATAAACAACTCATTATTCTATTATCTCAATGATACATAGACACAGGAGAAAACAAATGAAGTGCAAAATCAGACTGCAAGGAAAAAAAAGCAGCCTTACCAAAGTCAGCAATTTTGACATGGAGATTTGAATCAAGGAGAAGATTCTCGGGCTTGAGGTCCCTGTGCACAATCATTCTCTTGTGACAGTAATCAATACCTGAAATGATCTGCTGGAAAAACCTTCTTGCTTCATGCTCCTTCAGCTATGGAAGAATGAGACATAATCACATATGATTTGTGAGTCTTTTAAAAAGAGGGCTCATCAAGGAGGACTAAGGTACAAACATACACGGCCATGCTTGACAATGTAGTCAAACAGCTCTCCACCAGAAACATACTCCATCACCATGAAGATGTCAGTAGGAGTGCTAATAACCTGGTACCTGGAGGGAAGGTTGGAAAATATTCAAATTGAGTCAACAGGTTTTCTCCTAAATTCAGCCAACAGAATTTTCTATTGGCTTCACTCCAAAAAGAGTAACAAATTTCAGAAATGTTAATTTCTTAACAGAATTTTCCTATTACATATATTAATGCATATTGTCTGAGATGAAGTCAAGATGAAGAGAAAAACTCACAGTTTGATGATATGGGGGTGCCTGAAGAGCTTGAGATTCTGTATTTCCCTTCTGATCTTGGATACCACATCAAGATTTTTTATCTTCTGACGATTGAGAATCTTGATGGCCACTTTATGCCCAGTCAGCTGATGGATTCCAACTGACAGGACATAAAAAGAGAGTAACAAGGTAATAAAATAGACAGAAATAAGCTATCAATTTTCAATATGAATAAAATGAATGCCATCAAATTGTCAAGCAATAGATCACAGCATGTTGACTGGCTTTGCTAGTCTTGGGATCTCAAGACCTCAGGAACTCAGGACCTCAAGAATTTCAAAGCCTAAGGTATTCATGATGATCAGCATGTAGAACAAATACACAAAACCCATGTGAAAATGAGAATGGATAGGAGAGATCCTTATCACCTTTCCACCCCCTTTGGCATACCTGACACAGTCTAAGTCAACCAGAGAAGGAACAGCTCTTGAGTTATCCTAACTCTTGCCCTGTTTTACTAGGGATATCTGTCATTCTAATGGCAATTAAATTATGGTCAAAATCTGTGAGATGGGATTTTTTAAATTGATATACATATGAATGGAATGTCAAGTAAGATATTCTCCAAGCTTCAAATGTGTCTCTTATAAAATACAGGAACAACATTTGGCAAAAGACAGAAATGCATCAGAACCAATCTTGCTTTTACAGGTAGCAAAGGAATACAATTTTACAGTTTGTCTTCTGAATAAATTGCTCAAATTAGGTAGGTTTAAATTCTCTACTCAAGAAAGCATAAAATGTACATAATAATGACTAAAAGAATAAATTCTGGAAATTCAGCCATCAACTTCTACACCTGTTTGACAGCCATCTGACAGCTACATTCAAACCAGAGTCAGATGGGTACCTTGCGACTGCAGACTAGCTAGACATTCAAAGTGATTTATATTATTCTGGTTCACTAGACTCCTTCCATAACAAGTGAAAATATCTAATTGCTCCAAAGAAAATGAGAGAATAAAGCAGTTAAAGCTTTTCACTGATTTACTACATATACTGGGTGCTACAAAAATGCAACCTCTTTAACAATACTTAAAACCTACTGTGGTAATGCTTAACTTGCCATTTCTTTCTATCATAAAGAAAAACACACTAAAATTTGTTTCCTAAAATTGGAAAGCCTCTAGGCTATTTGAGTAAAAAGCAACAATCATTCAAATTTCAATGAGAAAAGGAGCTTTCTCCAGGCTGCAGGGGATTTAATAGTGCTCTGCAGAAGTGTCTCATGTCACTAAAAAGCCAGTTCTTTAATATGAATATATCCTTATTGCAGACTCCTTGCCTGTGCAGTGTCTTCAACTTAGATAGCAAGGGAAAACTCTCTATGATAAAAAAAATATATGTTTTCAAAATAAGGGCTGGAGAGGGAAGTGATCAAAAAGCACAACATTCATCAAATTTACACCACCCTTTCTTAGCTGAGGCCTAAAGACAAGAAGTCAAAAATACTACAACAAAAAATGCATTCCAACTTGATACTTGAAATAGCTGAATATTTTAAAAATTAAGCTTGTATTTTTTTATTCAAATCTTGAGACTTCACACATTTAAGAATCAAATTTTTTTTTGCACTAAAAACCTATGAAACTTGAATTCCTACAGTTGGCTTCATACAGCTTTAGCAAGCACTTTTTCCACACAGTGTATGTTACCTCATATATTCTACATAATGAGTAAACAATGCGCATTAATCTGCTTTTGTTTCCATTAGTTATAGTACACTTGAACATAGTATGGAAAACTCAAACTGACTTTTCACTTTCCCGAAAGTTCCCACTCCAAGAGTGTCACCAAGGATATAATGTCCAATCTTCACCAGGGGTTGTGACTTTTCCTTGTCCTTGTCTCCCATGTTGACTGTGTCTCTGAATCAAATCTAGATCAACCTTTCTACAACAAACAGAGTAGTATTATGAATTGTTATGGATGGAGTTATTTGACTCAATGAAGCTTAGGCCTACTTCTAGACCAAGAGATGGAGATGCACAATGGTAAGGAAACAAGCACAGATGTTATGCCACATAACTAAGGCCTATTCCTTATTACTATCCCTTATATTATTCCTCATACTTATATTCCTATATAAGTATGAGGAAGCACCCACTTGCAGGGTTTCCACATTTTAGATTTTAATTCCCAACATGGCATACACAAAAAACACACTCAGCAGACTACCCTCTCATCTGGACTAGTGTCTAAACTGATGAAGTTGAAATAACTTCACTTGAGCAAAAAATGCATAATGTTTTACTTGAGAAACTCAACACTCAAATATGCCAAATTCTAGGGAAAGCTTGGGTAAATGCATCTCATATTCATGATATTATATAGAATATGATATGAGATGGGATCACTCAGGAGTAGAAGAGTTTCTTTCTCAAGAAAGTAAAAAAATTTACAGCTAGATTTTTTTAAGAAGTGACAAGTTGTAGATTGCCTTTGATGTTTAATAGACACCCCTTGATTCACAAACTAAAATAAACCAGGAAATAGACTTTTTGGTTTGTTATATAAAATCTGGAACAATAAGCCTAACTTTGAGTTAAGCACAAAAACCATCCCCAACCAGAATGGTTCCTTCCCAAAGACAGTGGATAACTGGGAGTCCCTTTCTTAACCCTTTCCTTGACATTAATGTACTTTAACATCCAGGAGATGCCAATGCCTCCTCCACCAATATGTACAGGAAGAGTTTCAGATTTAAATTTCTGTCTGCCGGGGAAAGAGTTAAGAAGGGACACTTTATTCTACTCCCTGTTTTTAATGTAGTAAAAAGATACCTCTCCCCCAGAGAAACCAATCAACTGCATATATAACATCTAAAGGGCAAGGGAAAGCATTCCCAAAGGGTGTAGGAACCAGAATGTAGTTTCCCCATTCTATCTATAGTTATATGAATGTTTCCATGAATCAGGGTCAACTCATCTAATGCAGTGTTCTCATCTCATTTCTTCTTAACATGAGAATGTGTTTTCACATTCCTATAGTTAAAAGAAATGGGGTGAGAACACTGACACAAAACCTACATGTGTTTGCATGCATAGGTCATGTCTATATGAACATGCCCAGGAAATTTGGGAAATTTTCTCTCTCCCACCTCTTTGGAATGCTTTTACTCCAGCTCCAGGATTCATTTGCACTTTGTGCTACCCCAATCATTAACCCAGATTTGCCTGGCATCCTATATGAAGGATGGCCTGCAGAGATGAACATGAAAAATTCTCTAATGAATCATATAGCAGTTGTTACTCAGAATAATCTGGCCAGACAATAACGTGATTACAACAGGCACTTAATGTCTAGTAAGATAATTTTGAGCAACATAACTGACACATGAACCATTACAGAATTTTTGTGCACATCTCTGCACACCATTCTATGTCAAGTTCACTAGGCATATCTGGGTTAAGGTAAGAGTCCCACCTCATGAGTCACTGTTTCCCATGGGAGGGAAATGACAAACATGTGAATTCATTGGGAGTGATGATGCAAGGATGACAGGAGAGAACTGCAGTGTGCATGAAGAAGGTCCATAGGCACAAGACATATTCTAGGATGCCTTTCCAATGTCACCCAGAGTCAAATGAATAAATGAATGGATGAACCAAGGTTTCAGTAGACATTAGCTCCTTCAGGAGACCTACTTGCTGTAATCCAGATTTTCTCACAACTCAGCATATCTCGGATGAGTGCATTAAACCATAGGAAAAGAAGACAGCTGGACTAATGTGAAATGTGCAAGTGTGACTAAGTTAGATCAAAATAGATTGACAGAGAAGGATAAGAGGAAAAGAGGGGCTAACGTTAGCACGTACTACTGATGATTTCCTGCTCTTCCTCATGGGCCTAAATAATTAGATTTGTGCGCGTTGCGGAACTAACGCAGGATTCGGTGTTAATAAGGTATACAATAGCTCCTTCTCTTAGGACTACAAACAGAAAAATGATAGGCCTTACTCAGTTCTACAGCTAAATTGCTTGACAAGCATAATAACAGATTACGAGCAGTCAGGACGAAATATCTAAGTATTTCTTTGCCATGACCTTGGTCGGTAGTTACGCTCGCATTCCAAGGTTGCACAGCACTATAGGCTAAGTCTATCTCTATTTTACGCAACATCTCGCGTACACACATGGCACAATCCAAGCTCTCCTTACTACCCAGGGTTGCCGGAGCTGATGACTGTCAAATATCGCATTTGTGACTCAGGCCAAAATGTAACAATTGCGTGTGCGCAGACTTTACTGGGCCATAATTCAGAGATTAATAACTCCATATTCACGAAATGTAAACATTGAAGAGTTGGAATAATTTATCATCCCTTCAGTCCCTCTTTGGCACCGTTTGATGCGTTTTTCTTGTGGATGCATAGCAAAGAGAGATGAATTTGTCCCACTTGTAACAAGTCTCTCTTACAAGTCTAATAAATAGCCTCTCAAAGGCACTCAAGTTGAATGATTATCCAGTTTAAGCAAGAGTAGAATGAGAAGGCAGAACCTCAAAAAGATCATACTAGAAGAGGAAGGTGCAAGGCAGTGGTTCCCTGCCGGATTAAGAAGTTGCGAGGCCCGGGGCAAGTGGATTCTTGAAGCTAGACCCCCCCCCCACACACACACACACACACTTTACGCAAATACTTGACGTTTTTAAGTTCCTTCAAGAGGTCCCTGGAAGAGTAGGGCCCGGGACAACAGCCCCCCCTTAATCCGGCCCTGAGTAGTACTCAAACTGCGGCCCACAGAAACAAAACCCATGCAGCAAGGTGACACCCCAGGGATGTCCTCAACTGGACGACTTGCCCCAAGATCTTTATGGGACATCCTAAGGACATCTTCAGTCAGACGGTTTACGACTTCTAAGACGGATGTCTTCGGAACATCTTAGAGACGTCCTCGACTTTTCAGTCGAATTCTCATCGATATCCCGGAAGGGATATCTTTAAGACATCCTTAGTCGAATGCTTCTGGATATCCCGTAAGAGATGTCTTAAAGACATTTTCAGTCGAACGCTTTTCGGTACCTTGAGGAGAATGTCTTCGGGACATCTTAGGGATATCTTTAAGATATCATCAGTCGTCTTCAACCTTCAATCAGGTGCATAACTTTGACGGTAGATGTCTCTCCCGTACCGTGATCTCCGATCTCAGATCTTTTCTCTAAATTTTATCAACTTGATTTGTACGGAAAAGAAGTAATGATTTTCGTACCGTACATTACAAAAACTGCCACTTAGGATAGGGAAAAATTGAAGTCCTGATTTTAATTTATTCCGTTATATTCCCATTAATGATGTCTGATCGGCATGCCTGAGTACCACTATCCTGGTCTAAAATCTGAGCTCAAAGTTTACCTACCTCAATCATGAGAGAGGGCGACGTCTCATTAACAAAGGGTGATTTTACCCTAATGCCGAATTGTCTCTTTTATATCAAGCAAAGGATTTCCCTTCCTCCTTACCGTAATTTTCCAATCGTCAAGATGTTAAGACTGGGGAATCATAAAAAATCACGTAGTAACATCGTAGAAAATGAAAAGGTTGTCCTGTTGGGCAGGAAATGAGTACGTTTCAGAAAGAAAGGCACCCAGATGTATTGATATCGCTGAGATGTCTACGCAAGTAGTATCTTGGACTTCTCACTTGTCCCTAGGCGATATCTTTCGGATATACTTGTACTTTGCGAGAACGTACCTTTCTGAAAATGGACATTCTTACATAAGTGTTTTTCACTTGACTTTGACACTCGCGCATGAGAAACATCCCATGCAGGAGGCTCCAAGACATATAAAAATTAGTCTGACTCAAGTGAAAAAACACTGCAGCTCCCGATAAGCCATTTCCGGACGTAATCTACGTCTCAAAAATGTTGAGTACCACTCGCACAAGTCACGCAAGAAAATACTGAAAAAGAGGATGGAACAGTGGCGCAACCAGCCCTAAAGTTTTTTTTTGGGGGGGAGGGGGTTCGAATAAATTTTCATGACCTGTCTTGAATGTCTCCGAATGCAAGAAGGCGTTATCAAATCACCAGAAGAGATATACTCAACAAAAGAGCGAAATGGCACGAACACGAAAACAAAGAAAATGAGATAAATTATTTTTACAAAAAAGTCATTTAATGGTGGAAACGGAATTGAAACTCTAAATGATTAAAGTACATTCGATACCTGAAAAAAGCTCAAAATGAACTAAATTAATTTCGGGATTCAGCCCAAATTTTACTGCGCAGGTATGCAACAGGAAATTCGTTACCCTATGCGTGATTCACGCCTTTTATCGTCGTCCTGTTTTCAGAAAAAATTCAGTAGCGTCACATGTGCAGGACGCTTTCTTGACAAGTTCGCTTTGCTAAAGCGAGTAGCCACATGTGACTGGCGTGACCTTTACTTTTCATCTCCTATATATGCCTTTTTCCAGCCTCTCTCTCAGGTCTCTGTATCATACCCCCCCCCCCCCCCCCCCCCCCCCCCCCCCCCCCCCTTATGCCTTTTTCCCCCCCCTCTCTCCGGTCTCTTTCCCCCCCCCCCCCCCCCCCCCCTTCCTCCCCTCGAGGGAGAGGTGGATGGAGAAGTAGAGATACTGGGTATCATGCACCAGATCCATTTAACTTTAAACTGATTCGTTTTCGTAAAAGGGAACCATCGTGAGATCCCAACATAAACAGATTCGGTGCATGCCACCCACTATCGTGAGCAGGGGTTTGGGGGGTTCAGACCCCTGAACCTCCCCCCCTCCCTTTGGTTGCGCCACTGGGATGGAAGTAAGAAGAAGATGAAGGCGTACCAGAAAAAGTGCGAGGGAGAGAGAAGATAGTAGAAGAAAGAGAGACCATTTCATCAAGAGATTTTTTTTGCTTCGGCCGCGAAGATGGAGGGTGCCAATGCGGCCATCTTTCAT